CTCACTCACCCAGGTGCTCTCACTCACCCAGGTGCACTCACTCACCCAGGTGCTCTCACTCACCCAGGTGCTCTCACTCACCCAGGTGCTCTCACTCACCCAGGTGTTCTCACTCACCCAGGTGCTCTCACTCACCCAGGTGCTCTCACTCACCCAGGTGCACTCACTCACCCAGGTGCTCTCACTCACCCAGGTGCTCTCACTCACCCAGGTGCTCTCACTCACCCAGGTGCTCTCACTCACCCAGGTGCTCTCACTCACCCAGGTGCACTCACTCACCCAGGTGCTCTCACTCACCCAGGTGCTCTCACTCACCCAGGTGCTCTCACTCACCCAGGTGCTCTCACTCACCCAGGTGCTCTCACTCACCCAGGTGCTCTATCACTCATGCTCCATCCAGGTGCACTCACTCACCCAGGTGCTCTCACTCACCCAGGTGCTCTCACTCACCCAGGTGCTCTCACTCACCCAGGTGCTCTCACTCACCCAGGTGCTCTCACTCACACCAGGTGCTCTCACTCACCCAGGTGCTCTCACTCACCCAGGTGCTCTCACTCACCCAGGTGCTCTCACTCACCCAGGTGCACTCACTCACCCAGGTGCTCTCACTCACCCAGGTGCTCTCACTCACCCAGGTGCTCTCACTCACCCAGGTGCTCTCACTCACCCAGGTGCTCTCACTCACCCAGGTGCTCTCACTCACCCAGGTGCTCTCACTCACCCAGGTGCTCTCACTCACCCAGGTGCTCTCACTCACCCAGGTGCTCTCACTCACCCAGGTGCTCTCACTCACCCAGGTGCTCTCACTCACCCAGGTGCACTCATTACCTGGGGTATACCTGGAAGGTGTTCCGGGGGTCAGCACCCCCGCGGCTCGGTTCATGACCAGGCCTAGCGGCGGATCAGGATTTGATCAACCAGGCTGTTCCTGATGGCCGTTGTTGCTGGTGCACTTTCTGAACTGAGTATGTGACGGGTCGATTTACAGTTCCTGGCCCCTCCTAAACTATTTTGATCTGTATTATTGGTCTCTGGCCTTTTACATATCAATGAAAAATTATTATTATTATTATTATTATTATTACTATTATTATTATTATTATTATTATTATTATTATTATTATTATTATTATTATTATTATTATTATTATTTCTTTACTTTCAACACACCGGCCGTATCCCACCGAGGCAGGGTGGCCCAAAAGGAAAAACGAAAGTTTCTCCTTTTACATTTAGTAATATATACAGGAGAAGAGGTTACTAGCCCCTTGCTCCCGGCATTTTAGTCGCCTCTTAAAAACACGCATGGCTTACGGAGGAAGAATTCTATTCCACTTCCCCATGGAGGTAAGAGGAAATAAACAAGAACAAGAACTAGAAAGAAAATAGAAGAAAACCCAGAGGGGTGTGTATATATATGTTTGTACATGTATGTGTAGTGTGACCTAAGTGTAAGTAGAAGTAGCAAAACGTACCTGTAATCTTGCATGTGTATGAGACAATAAAAGGACACCAGCAATCCTACCATCATGTAAAACAATTACAGGCTTTCGTTTTACACTCACTTGGCAGGACGGTAGTACCTCCCTGGGTGGTTGCTGTCTACCAACCTACTACCTATAATTATTATTATTATTATTATTATTATTATTATTATTATTATTATTATTCTATGTTAAGTTAGGCAACATTAACATAAAATGGTATAAAGAACACGTAGGAGAGAGAAGCTTACGAGGACGTTTCGGTCTGACTTAATTTACAACGTCCCAGCGTGTATTTAACAACGTATAACAACAACTGGCCCCGGCACGTCTGGCAGGGCGGTCGCTGTATAGCTCCAGGAGACGTTTAAATATGTACGAGTGTAGCTGTAGGCAGGTCTAGCCTGTGCACCAGGTCACTCACCTGGTTGGTGGGTGTGCTTACCCTCCACGTGTTTACTTAACACCAGGTCACTCACCTGGTTGGTGGGTGTGCTCACCCTCCACGTGTTTACTTAACACCAGGTCACTCACCTGGTTGGTGGGTGTGCTTACCCTCCACGTGTTTACTTAACACCAGGTCACTCACCTCGTTGGTGGGTGTGTTCGGCCTCCACGTGTTCACTCGCCACCTGGTCGCAACAAAGGTTAAACCAGCCGGTTTAACGCTTCTCCATAACTATAATAATAATTATTATCATTATTATTAATATTTATTATTATTATTATTTAATTTGAAAACTAGCCGACAATTCAATCATTTTCGAAACATAATCAAGTCAGATGATAATGGTCCAGGGTCGGAGCGAAACCTCGTGGTGATCACTCGGGTGAAACAGCCCAGGGGGAGTGGGAAGTCATCATGTTTGATCCGAGGAAGGGGCGAGTAATTCTGGATCAAGAATCCCCCCACCGACATCATGCAGCTCTCCTCCCCCCCCTCTCTTGAAGAGGGAGGGGGTGAAGAACGTACATATATGTACGTTAAAGTATACCTACATGTACACTGAAGAACATGGTCTGACCACTCGTAAACTGAAGCACTTTGACCCTACTGTACTTATACACGGTATACAGTATACATCGTGGGTTTCGGGGGTCAACGCCCCCGCGGCCCGTTCTGTGACCAGGCTTCATGGTGGATCAGGGCCTGATCAACCAGGCTGTATATATCTATATACTGAGTTCTATATATTTGGGGTGATTTGGAAAGGTTTTACTCCTGTGCATTTAGAATGAGGTGGAATGTACTCTCAGTTATATGTACTCTAGACTGAGGGTCAAGATAATGTCGCAAAGTCGAGTGCATTGGATATGAGTTGAAAAAACACACACACACACACACACACACACACACACACACACACACACACACACACACACACACACACACACACACACACACACACACACACACACACACACACACACACACTTGTACACTCACAGATATTATTCACTCACATCTCACGAGGTCAGGTTTACCACAATTTATTTTGATAATTGGGCAAGAAGTTCTTTAGTGATAAATTATACACATGCGCAACACTTATTTACCCTTATTGTGGAAACGTTTCGCCACACATTGGCTTCATTAATCCAATGCAAAAAGAATAGTGAAGATTAGAAGAAGATCGGGGTAATCAGTCCTTCAGCCTAGAATCGATGTAAACAGTCCATCACTCTTGTTAAGAATACAGCGAGAAGTGCCTTATATACTGCAGAGAGGTGAGGTGAAGCAGTTGTAGGCGGTGTCACCTTGGACAAATCCACAGATGGAAGTAGGTCAGGACTATAGGTTAGGCAAGTGATGTGTGACCCAACGTTTCCGCAATAAATATACCCAAGTTTTGGACATGTGTCTGATTTATGAACTTGTCGGTTCTCTCAACTATCTACGTACATTCTGTTAGCAGTGTTAATGATGGGACACACAGTGTTAATAAGACACAGTTTATCACTGTTCCCTCGGTCGTGGATGAAAGACAAACCTTACTGAACAAGCTTTTAATGGGGAAACATTTCGATCCTCTGATGATCTGATAATGGTCTCAGCAGATCGAAACTTTGTGCCAGTTAAAAAAAAAAGAAGAGCAAGGCAGTTTAGATTCTAGTACCAGCTTCAGAGTGCCTCTGGGGAAAGGGGTCTGACTGTCACCTGGTGTCGTGTTTGTATAACGCTAGCAATGAATGTCGGTGGTGTAGAGTGCAGCGTCATTATGCAAGCAAGTTTCTCTCTGCTGGAGGCCAGTGTGTAAACAACACCACGTAACCAACACTGGTAATTTCATCCTCCTCCTCCTTCCTCCAGGCTGAACCCCGTTTTACAGTGACCTCATCTCACACACAGTGACCCCGTTCCACATACAGTAACCCCATCCCACATACAGTGACTCCAAGCCACACACAGTGACCCCGTCCCATGTACAGTGACTCCATCCCACATACAGTGACTCCATCCCACACACAGTGACCTCATCTCTCACACAATGACCCCCGTCCCACATACAGTGACTCCATCCCACATACAGTGACTCCATCCCACACACAGTGACCTCATCTCTCACACAATGACCCCCGTCCCACATACAGTAACTCCATCCCACACACAGTGACCTCATCTCTCACACAATGACCCCCGTCCCACATACAGTGACTCCATCCCACATACAGTGACTCCATCCCACACACAGTGACCTCATCTCTCACACAGTGACACCGTCCCACACACAGTGACCTCATCTCTCACACAGTGACCCCGTCCCACACACAGTGACCTCATCTCTCACACAATGACCCCCGTCCCACATACAGTGACTCCATCCCACACACAGTGACCTCATCTCTCACACAGTGACCCCGTCCCACACACAGTGACCTCATCTCTCACACAGTGACCCCGTCCCACACAGTGACCTCATCTCTCACACAGTGACCCCGTCCCACACACAGTGACCTCATCTCTCACACAGTGACCCCGTCCCACACACAGTGACTTCATCTCTCACACAGTGACCCCGTCCCACACAGTGACCTCATCTCTCACACAGTGACCCCGTCCCACACACAGTGACCCCGTCCCACACACAGTGACCTCATCTCTCACACAGTGACCCCGTCCCACACACAGTGACCTCATCTCTCACACAGTGACCCCGTCCCACACACAGTGACTCACAGCTACAAGTTTCATACCATAAAATGCGTACGGCTAGTTTCTATCCTCCTCTTGGAGTCCCTATGTACCCTACTAAGATACTACTACTGATGCTCCTACCCATGTAGCTAGGTATCACTCTTGATGCTCCTACCCTTGTAACTAGGTGCCACTCTTGATGCTCTCACCCATGTAGCTAGGTACCACTCTTGATGCTTCTACCCTTATAGCTAGGTACCACTCTTGATGCTTCTACCCTTGTAGCTAGGTACTACTCTCTTGATGGGCTGTTTCAGGTGCAGCCTACACTGTGTTTCTGGTGTAGCTGGATTATTTCAGGTATTACTGGACTGTTTCAGGTGTTGGGCTGGAGATCCTGAGCATGAGCCTGGAGGGGGGGTCGAAGGAGTACCTGGAGGTGAGGGCCAAGACAGACTACGTGCTGAGGTGTGACTACAGGAGTGGCTACGACGACCCCGTCAAGGAGGTCCGCTGGCTCCTCTACGGTTACCCTGTCTACGTCTGGAGGGAAAACCAGCATCCAACAGGTATACTCGCGCTTTCTCTCTCTCTCTCTCTCTCTCTCTCTCTCTCTCTCTCTCTCTCTCTCTCTCTCTCTCTATCTATCTATCTATCTATCTATCTATCTATCTATCTCTCTATCTATCTATCTATCTATCTAACTATATCTATATATCTGACTTCTATCTTCTCTACATTCGTCTAATAAATTATTATTATTATTATTATTATTATTATTATTATTATTATTATTATTATTATTATTATTATTATTATTATGTAGCTCAGAAAACAATATGAAGTTCAATGGAAGATAACAACGGAATCAGAGTATATAAAAAAAATTCCAACCACACAACAGAGCGAAAAACTAATGTGAAGGACCTGGGAGTGAATTAATGTCAGAGAATCTCATTTCCAAAGATCACAACAATGTATCTACCACATCTGCTAGGGAAATGATAGAGTGGATAATGAGAACCTTCAAAACTAGAGATGCCAAGACAGTGATGATTCTCTTCAAATCGCTTGTTCTCTCTAGGCTGGAATATTACTGTGCACTAACGTCCCTTTCAACGCAGGCGATATTGCAGACCTGGAGAATGTACAGAGTACTTTTACTGCACGATAAGTACAGTAAAGCACCTAAATTACTGGGAACAATTGAAGTCCCTTGACCTGTATTTATTGGAACGCATGTAAGAAAGATACATGATAATATAGACTTGGAAAATCTTGGAGGGTTTAGTCCCAAATCTACACACGGAAAACACTCCCTACGAAAGCAAAAGACTCGGCAGGCGGTGCAACATTTCCCCAATGAAAAGCAGGGGTGCCACGAGTACGCTAAGAGACAGCACAGTAAGTGTCAGGGGCCCAAGACTGTTCAACTGCCTCTCAGCCTACATAAGGGGGATTATCAGTAGATCCCCCTGGCTGTCTTCAAGACGACAGCCACAGACCGACTGGTCAGTACCTAATCAGTCGGTCTGTGGTTCGTTCGTCACTCTACGTGCTGCCAGCAGTAACAGTCTAGTTGATCAGGCTGTGATCCACCGCGAAGCCTGGTCACAGACCGGGCCTCTCCAGGTATAGGTACTATCTTTTATATTAGCTGACATTATAAGTACTATTTTGTACATTAGATGACATTTAATTCCGTAACTCGAGTTCAGCCATACAACAAAACTCACCCAATCTAACTTACTTTCTCCCCAGCGTCTGAGTCCCTGCTGCTGGGTCTGGTGTCAACCAATGCTACAAACTTTGCCTTTATATAATTGACTATTTCCCCAGCGTCTGAGTCCCTGTTGGGCCTGGTGTCGACCAATCCTACGAAGGAGCCTCACAATATTCACTTCAAGAAGGTGGAGTATAGCCTCGCTGGGAACTACACTTGTCGAGTTTCCTCTGCCAACGCTACCGCCCAGGCTACCTTCTCTCTCCATGTTATAGGTACGTCTCCTCCATATATACATGTTCCCTCTATGTTATATGTATCTGTGTTCCCTACTTATTGTATGTATCTGTATGTTCCGTCTGTGTTATATGTATCTGTGTTCCCTACATGTTATATGTACCTGTATTTTCCCTCCGTGTGAATAGATTGTTTTCTCTGTGTTAAAAATAACTTCCCTTCATGTGATAGGTAAGCTTCTGTATGAACCTAAGTCTCTGTGATTGTGTTTAAAGTTCTGAATGACTCTGTAGGTCAACATTGTAAATCCTCTTGTACATGAATGTATATAGTACCGACAGGATGAAAAATTAGACACGTGTACAGCATCTGGATATCTATTTGTAGACGTTTCACCATCCAGTGACTTTATCAATGCAAATTCAAGGACATAATGGGAAGACTATATAGTTTTAGTCTTCCCATTATGTCCTTGAATTTGTATTGATAAAGCCACTGGAAGGCGAAACGTCTACAAATCAACAAACCCAGATGTTGTACATTTATCTAATTCTTCATTTTGTAAGTCCTACCCAGGCAGTGTGTGTACCCCATAGCACTTCTATCATGAATGTTATAATAATAATAATTTGTAAATCCAACAATATAATTTGTTTTATATTTTAGATGCGTCATCGTCGCCCTACCAGACGCGTGTTCAAGTTCTCAGCTCCATCAGCAACAGCAGTGGCAGGGGTGACAAGAACACGTATGAGGTAGCCACTACTGAATCCTCCCACCTTGTGGAGTTTGAGAACCCTGAATGCACTCTAGTGTGGTCCTTCTTCACTCCAGCTATCTTCCCCAAGCCCAACGTCACCTGCGGTTACTACTCCTTCGACTACGATGATGTTATCCAGCGCCTGCCAGCCGGCCTCACTATGCACCAGTTTGCTAATGGCTCCTGGCGGGCCTCGTTCCAGTCAACTCACATAGAGGTCAGTGTGCAACACCTCGTTAACACTCACTGATAAGAAATCTCGGAAAAAACTACTGCAGAACCTTTATTTAGTGAAGGTTCTTCTGTTTTTTTTATTGATTCTTCTTGTCACTACCCGTTTGTAGCCCCTCCAGAGGTAGACTGGATAATCGTAGAGCAGCGGACCTCCTCGTAGCCACTCCATGTTCTCATTCTCGACTGATAATTAACACACATGTACAATAGTTGGGTATCTTTATTAATGAAAAGTTTCGCCTACACAGTAGGCTTCTTCAGTCAAATACAGAGACAGCAGGTGTAGTAGTGAGATGAACATGATGTAACCAGTCTGTCAACCATGGAGAAATAGTATATGAGGTGGCCAGTCCCGTGTCGGTATTTTATACCATTTTCAAGTCATGCTTTACTGTTTGGCTACACTGAGACACTTTAATGAAGTATATAACTATGTTAGGCTCATTGCCATTAAACTGCTTTAGCTTATTACAGTTCGTTATTCACACACCTTCCCACTAACAGTTATTCTAGCAGAGTTTACAAACAGGTTGATGAATAAGATACATGGGTAACACTTTAGTGTCTTTTATTATTGAAACATCTTTTGCATCGCTGGCTTATTCATTGGAATACAGAGACTATGTAAGAAATCTTTGTAACTTAGAAAATAAAATTATTATTTTGAGTCAGTGTGGCCCAGTAGGTTTACTGCGGTGCTAGATTCATTATTATTATTATTATTATTATTATTATTATTATTATTATTATTATTATTATTATTATTATTATTATTTGTGTGTGTGCCCCAGTAGGCTTACTGTTGTGCTTCATTATTCTTAAGTTTAATACATGTTTTGGGTCAGGTGGCCAGCATCCCCAGGACGCACCGTCTGGGGTGTTCAGTGCGCATCCCTCAGACTTCTTACAAGAAGATGATCAAGGCTGATGACGACTTCCTTGTTGATGCTCTCAGTACGTATACTCTCACTCTTGTTGATGCTCTCAGTACGTATACTCTCACTCTTGTTGATGCTCTCAGTACGTATACTCTCACTCTTGTTGATGCTCTCAGTACGTATACTCTCACTCTTGTTGATGCTCTCAGTACGTATACTCTCACTCTTGTTGATGCTCTCAGTACGTATACTCTCACTCTTGTTGATGCTCTCAGTACGTATACTCTCACTCTTGTTGATGCTCTCAGTACGTATACTCTCACTCTTGTTGATGCTCTCAGTACGTATACTCTCACTCTTCTTGATGCTCTCAGTACGTATACTCTCACCCTTCTTGATGCTCTCAGTACGTATACTCTCACTCTTGTTGATGCTCTCAGTACGTATACTCTCACTCTTCTTGATGCTCTCAGTACGTATACTCTCACTCTTCTTGATGCTCTCAGTACGTATACTCTCACTCTTCTTGATGCTCTCAGTACGTATACTCTCACTCTTCTTGATGCTCTCAGTACGTATACTCTCACTCTTCTTGATGCTCTCAGTACGTATACTCTCACTCTTCTTGATGCTCTCAGTACGTATACTCTCACTCTTGTTGATGCTCTCAGTACGTATACTCTCACTCTTCTTGATGCTCTCAGTACGTATACTCTCACTCTTCTTGATGCTCTCAGTACGTATACTCTCACTCTTGTTGATGCTTTCAGTACGTATACTCTCACTCTTGTTGATGCTCTCAGTACGTATACTCTCACTCTTGTTGATGCTCTCAGTACGTATACTCTCACTCTTGTTGATGCTCTCAGTACGTATACTCTCACTCTTGTTGATGCTCTCAGTACGTACACTCTCACTCTTGTTGATGCTCTCAGTACGTATACTCTCACTCTTGTTGATGCTCTCAGTACGTACACTCTCACTCTTGTTGATGCTCTCAGTACGTACACTCTCACTCTTGTTGATGCTCTCAGTACGTATACTCTCACTCTTCTTGATGCTCTCATTACTTATACTCTCACTCTTGTTGATGCTCTCAGTACGTATACTCTCACTCTTGTTGATGCTCTCAGTACGTATACTCTCACTCTTCTTGATGCTCTCAGTACTCTCACTCTTTTTGATGCTCTCAGTACGTATACTCTCACTCTTCTTGATGCTCTCAGTACTCTCACTCTTTTTGATGCTCTCAGTACGTATATATTCACTCTTTCATTACTTAAAAAAAATCGTTACTTAAAATCGTTAGTCTATCAGTTGCATGTCAAAAGACACAAACATTATTTTCTGTTGTCTTCTCCACGTGGGTTGTATTCTCATATTGTGAAATTTTTATTATGTTGTGATGCACTAACATCACTTGAATAAGTTTATTAATATAGCGTGAATTACCATTGTTTATTACAGTTGACTCAGCTGGGTGCCCGAGCCTGGAGCTAGAGCACCACCCTGGGCTCAGTGCTCACATCCAAGACGCCACATACACCTGCCATAATGATGTCATACCTGCGGAAAGGGATGGCACAGCTATTGCAAAGCTCAGGTCAGCGTTGTTGCAGCCGATCCTCACTGTAGCTGTTATATATGATTCAAGCCGGGCTCATTTCTGAGCACCGCTGTTGGATATTAGCCTTATTTTTGTCTCTACCCCTACTTACCTAGCAGTAATTAGGTTCCTGGGTGTAATAGTCGTCTGTTGTAGGGTAACAGCATAGCGAAGATAAGACTTGGATTTGAAATAAGCAGAGGTAGGATAACAGCTCTTAGCTTGTAAATAATCTGAGGCAGGATAACAGCTCTTAGCTTGTAAATAATCTGAGGCAAGATAACAGCTCTTAGCTTGTAAATAATATGAGGCAGGATAACAGCTCTTAGCTTGTAAATAATCTGAGGCAGGATAACAGCTCTTATCTTGTAAATAATCTGAGGCAGGATAACAGCTCTTATCTTGTAAATAATCTGAGGCAGGATAACAGCTCTTAGCTTGTAAATAATCTGAGGCAGGATAACAGCTCTTAGCTTGTAAATAATCTGAGGCAGGATAACAGCTCTTATCTTGTAAATAATCTGAGGCAGGATAACAGCTCTTATCTTGTAAATAATCTGAGGCAGGATAACAGCTCTTAGCTTGTAAATAATCTGAGGCAGGATAACAGCTCTTAGCTTGTAAATAATCTGAGGCAGGATAACAGCTCTTAGCTTGTAAATAATCTGAGGCAGGATAACAGCTCTTATCTTGTAAATAATCTGAGGCAGGATAACAGCTCTTAGCTTGTAAATAATCTGAGGCAGGATAACAGCTCTTAGCTTGTAAATAATCTGAGGCAGGATAACAGCTCTTATCTTGTAAATAATCTGAGGCAGGATAACAGCTCTTAGCTTGTAAATAATCTGAGGCAGGATAACAGCTCTTAGCTTGTAAATAATCTGAGGCAGGATAACAGCTCTTAGCTTGTAAATAATCTGAGGCAGGATAACAGCTCTTAGCTTGTAAATAATCTGAGGCAGGATAACAGCTCTTAGTTTGTGTGTAAACCGAACCTGCATGGAGAAAATAAAATGGAAGGTAAGAGCAGTAATATATATTTCTATTTCCTACTGAGGTGGTCTTCGGTCTGCTGAAGAGGACATCAGTTGTAAGACGAAATGGACAATAATCACCTTGTGTTTCATTGTCTCCTCTGGAAAATCTCTTAAATTATCTTAGAGAGGAATTTCTTAAGGTAAACTACCACCAAGGCATGTGTTCATGTAGGCTATCACCAAGACGTGTTCATGTAGACTACCACCAAGACGTGTTCATGTAGACTACCACCAAGACGTGTTCATGTAGACTACCACCAAGACGTGTTCATGTAGACTACCACCAAGACGTGTTCATGTAGGCTACCACCAAGACGTGTTCATGTAGGCTACCACCAAGACGTGTTCATGTAGACTACCACCAAGACGTGTTCATGTAGGCTACCACCAAGACGTGTTCATGTAGGCTACCACCAAGACGTGTTCATGTAGGCTACCACCAAGACGTGTTCATGTAGACTACCACCAAGACGTGTTCATGTAGGCTACCACCAAGACGTGTTCATGTAGACTACCACCAAGACGTGTTCATGTAGACTACCACCAAGACGTGTTCATGTAGGCTACCACCAAGACGTGTTCATGTAGACTACCACCAAGACGTGTTCATGTAGACTACCACCAAGACGTGTTCATGTAGACTACCACCAAGACGTGTGTTCGTGTAGGCTACCACCAGCACATGTGTTCGTGTAGGCTACCACCAGCGCATGTGTTCGTGTAGGCTACCACCAGCGCATGTGTTCGTGTAGGCTACCGCCAGCACATGCGTTCGTGTAGGCTACCACCAATACATGTGTTCGTGTAGGCTACCACCAGCACATGTGTTCGTGTGGGCTACCACCAGCACGTGTTCGTGTAGGTTACCACCAAGACATGTGTTCGTGTAGGCTACCACCAGCACATGTGTTCGTGTAGGCTACCACCAGCACATGTGTTCGTGTAGGCTACCACCAGCACGTGTTCGTGTAGGCTGCCACCAGCACATGTTTTCGTGTAGGCTACCACCAAGACATGTGTTCGTGTAGGCTACCACCAAGACAATTGTTTGTGTAGGCTACCACCAGCACATGTGTTCGCGTAGGCTACCACCAGCACATGTGTTCGTGTAGGCTACCACCAGCACGTGTTCGTGTAGGCTGCCAACAGCACGTTTTCGTGTAGGCTACCACCAAGACATGTGTTCGTATAGGCTACCACCAAGACATGTGTTCATGTAGGCTACCACCAGGACATATGTTCACGTATACTACTACCAAGACGTGCTCAAGTAAACTCCTATTTTGAGTTTCAGCCATTATAATAATGTGCTGTAGACATGTGAAGGGTTGCTAAGAGAGACTGCAAGAGTTGAAGGAACACTAAAGAAAAGTGTAAACATTGTCACTTTGATTATCTCAGCTGTTTAATAATTATCCCTTTACCGGGCACACACACACATACACACAGGATCAGGCGTGTATAACAGGAAGGGCACTGCAATGGATCAGAGAATACCTGACAGGGAGGCAACAGCGAGTCGTGGTACGTGATGAGGTATCACAGTGGGCACCTGTGACGAGCGGGATCCCACAGGGGTCGGTCCTAGGACCAGTGCTATTTCTGGTATATGTGAATGACATGATGGAAGGGATAGACTCAAAAGTGTCCCTGTTCGCAGATGATGTGAAGTTAATGGAATCAAATCAGATGAGGATCAGGCAGGACTTCAAAGAGACCTGGACAGGCTGGACACCTGGTCCAGCAACTGGCTTCTCGAATTTAACCCCGCCAAATGCTAAGTCATGAAAATCGGGGAAGGGTAAAGAAGACCGCAGAGGGAGTATAGGCTAGGTTTACCTGGAGTTTACCTGGAGAGAGTTCCGGGGGTCAACGCCCCCGCGGCCCGGTCTGTGACCAGGCCTCCTGGTGGATCAGAGCCTGATCAACCAGGCTGTTGCTGCTGGCTGCACGCAAACCAACGTACGAGCCACAGCCCGGCTGGTCAGGAACCGACTTTAGGTGCTTGTCCAGTGCCAGCTTGAAGACTGCCAGGGGTCTGTTGGTAATCCCACTTATGTATGCTGGGAGGCAGTTGAACAGTCTCGGGCCCCTGACACTTATTGTATGGTCTCTTAACGTGCTAGTGACACCCCTGCTTTTCATTGGGGGATGTTGCATCGTCTGCCAAGTCTTTTGCTTTCGTAGTGAGTGATTTTCGTGTGCAAGTTCGGTACTAGTCCCTCTAGGATTTTCCAGGTGTATATAATCATGTATCTCTCCCGCCTGCGTTCCAGGGAATACAGGTTTAGGAACCTTAAGCGCTCCCAATAATTGAGGTGTTTTATCTCCGTTATGCGCGCCGTGAAGGTTCTCTGTACATTTTCTAGGTCAGCAATTTCACCTGCCTTGAAAGGTGCTGTTAGTGTGCAGCAATATTCCAGCCTAGATAGAACAAGTGACCTGAAGAGTGTCATCATGGGCTTGGCCTCCCTAGTTTTGAAGGTTCTCATTATCCATCCTGTCATTTTTCTAGCAGATGCGATTGATACAATGTTATGGTCCTTGAAGGTGAGATCCTCTGACATGATCACTCCCAGGTCTTTGACGTTGGTGTTTCGCTCTATTTTGTGGCCAGAATTTGTTTTGTACTCTGATGAAGATTTAATTTCCTCGTGTTTACCATATCTGAGTAATTGAAATTTCTCATCGTTGAACTTCATATTGTTTTCTGCAGCCCACTGAAAGATTCGGTTGATGTCCGCCTGGAGCCTTGCAGTGTCTGCAATGGAAGACACTGTCATGCAGATTCGGGTGTCATCTGCAAAGGAAGACACGGTGCTGTGGCTGGCATCCTTGTCTATGTCGGATATGAGGATGAGGAACAAGATGGGAGCGAGTACTGTGCCTTGTGGAACAGAGCTTTTCACCGTAGCTGCCTCGGACTTTACTCTGTTGACGACTACTCTCTGTGTTCTGTTAGTGAGGAAATTATAGATCCATCGACCGGACAAAGACTGCAAACCTCGCTCAAGGAGAAAGATCTTGGGGTGAGTATAACACCGAGCACGTCTCCGGAAGCACACTTCAACCAGATAACTGCTGCAGCATATGGGCGCCTGGCAAACCTGAGAATAGCGTTCCGATACCTTAGTAAGGAATCGTTCAAGACACTGTACATCTTGTACGTCAGGCCCATACTGGAGTCTGCAGCACCTGTTTGGAACCCGCACTTGATCAAGCACGTCAAGAAATTAGAGAAAGTGCAAAGGTTTGCGACAAGGTTAGTTCCAGAGCTAAGGGGAATGTCCTACGAAGAAAGGTTAAGGGAAATCGGCCTGACGACACTAGAGGACAGGAGAGTTAGGGGAGACATGATAACAACATACAAAATACTGCGTGGAATAGACAAGGTGGACAGAGACAGGATGTTCCAGAGATGGGACACAGAAACAAGAGGTCACAATTGGAAGTTGAAGACCCAGATGAGTCAAAGGGATGTTAGGAAGTATTTCTTCAGTCATAGAGTAATCAGGAAGTGGAATAGCCTAGTAAGTGAGATAGTGGAGGCAGAAACCATACATAGCTTTAAGATGAGGTATGATAAAGCTCATGGAGCAGGGAGAGAGAGGACCTAGTAGCACTCAGTGAAGAGGCGGGGCCAGGAGCTGAGTCTCGACCCCTGCAACCACAATTAGGTCAGTACACTAGGTGAGTACACACACAGTATATTCATTAAAAAAAACTAATACTAGTGTCAGAAAACAATTTCCAAATTATTTCTTCTGTCGAACAAAACACTGCCGCCATTAATACTCTCAACCGTCATATATTTAGAAAATATTAATGCTAACATACTAATGTTCTTTCTCTTTCCATCAGCTGCCCAAATGGTCACGCATCTGTGTTCCCAGACAGCTCTGTCGAACACGGCTGGGAGCTGGAGCTCAGCTGCTCTGAGAATGACGTGGGATGGAGGACCTTGAACAGGAAGGACAAGGCCGAAGGCAAGATTGTCGACATTCAACACCTGCCTTACTGTGGTATGTGAGAGTAACTAGTTCAACACCTGCCTTACTGTGGTATGTGAGAGTAACTAGTTCAACACCTGCCTTACTGTGGTATGTGAGAGTAACTAGTTCAACACCTGCCTTACTGTGGTATGTGAGAGTAACTAGTTCAACACCTGTCTTACTGTGGTATGTGAGAGTAACTAGTTCAACACCTGCCTTACTGTGGTATGTGAGAGTAACTAATTCAACACCTGCCTTACTGTGGTATGTGAGAGTAATTCAACACCTGCCTTACTGTGGTATGTGAGAGTAATTCAACACCTGCCTTACTGTGGTATGTGAGAGTAACTAGTTCAACACCTGCCTTACTGTGGTATGTGAGAGTAACTAGTTCAACACCTGTCTTACTGTGGTATGTGAGAGTAACTAGTTCAACACCTGCCTTACTGTGGTATGTGAGAGTAACTAATTCAACACCTGCCTTACTGTGGTATGTGAGAGTAATTCAACACCTGCCTTACTGTGGTATGTGAGAGTAATTCAACACCTGCCTTACTGTGGTATGTGAGAGTAACTAGTTCAACACCTGCCTTACTGTGATATGAGAGTAACTAATTCAACACCTGCCTTACTGTGGTATGTGAGAGTAACTAATTCAACACCTGCCTTACTGTGGTTGTGAGAGTAACTAATTCAATACCTGCCTTACTGTGCTATGTGAGAGTAACTAATTCAATACCTGCCTTACTGTGGTTGTGAGAGTAACTAGTTAAACACCTGCCTTACTGTGGTATGTGAGAGTAATTCAACACCTGCCTTACTGTGGTATGTGAGAGTAACTAATTCAACACCTGCCTTACTGTGGTATGTGAGAGTAACTAGTTCAACACCTGCCTTACTGTGGTTGTGAGAGTAACTAATTCAACACCTGCCTTACTGTGGTTGTGAGAGTAACTAGTTCAACACCTGTCTTACTATTATATGTGAGAGTAACAAGTTCAACACCTGTCTTACTATTATATGTGACCAGTTAGGAAGGCTCTTCTACCCTCGCAACTCGGACTTAGATCAGGCATCTTGGCTGATTTCATATTCAACTAGGCTGTTGCTGTTAGCGGCCCACTGGTTTGCTTATTAGGTATCCCCAGTAACCTTATCCTTGACTATATTTTCACCTTCAAAAAGACCATGCTAGTGAAGGGCTCTTGATTCAAGGACTTGTATCTATGTCCTCTTGAGATAAACCTTTATAATCCCCACATATAAGAAATACCTTGAGGGATACCTTGAGGTATTCCTCACAACCCCTATTTGTTTGTATTAATATTTAAGATTAAATAATCATTGTGTCTGAGCTTATTACATTTTATTTTAAGGAAAAATATTTGGAAAACTGTTATTAAAGAGGAGGTAGCTGGTAATTACTTCCAGCTGTGTATCTCTTAATTAATCCAGTAATTAAAATAGAGCTTTCAATGTCCTGTACCGTTATTAATGGTACTTGATGATGGTCCATTCGGGCCGAAACGTCGTCTAGTCTGGTATAATCCTTGGTAATTGATACTGGCAGATTGGTTTAAAAAAGACACGTGAGCAGACACTATGATATGGAAAACGGTCTCAGGACCGAAACGTTTTCTATGTCCTAGTGTTTGCTCTCGTGTCTTTTTAAACCAACCATCTAGACTAGAGTTAGTAAGTAAGTTTATTCAGGTATACACAAATACAGTTACATAGATTGTCATACATAAGCAACATATGTGTAGAGAACCTGGGATAACCCAAAAAAGTCAGACAGGGTGACTTATTTCAAAAGTGTGAGTTGTCTGCTAATAGTTACAACCATGGTATTGTGACCATTTTTCTAAGAAAACATAATAAGACTTTTTCTCTCTTTTTCAGAGCCTAGGAAATATTCGTCTGGAGTGTTGTGTGTAGCCTCGTCCAGTGCAGTGTTGGTGTTACTGTCCGTGGTGGGGGTTGTGTCTCTCTGACCGTCATACATACTGTCCGTGGTGGGGGTTGTCTCTCTGACCGTCATACATACTGTCCGTGGTGGGGGTTGTGTCTCTGACCGTCATACATACTGTCCGTGGTGGGGGTTGTGTCTCTGACCGTCATACATACTGTCCGTGGTGGGGGTTGTGTCTCTGACCGTCATACATACTGTCCGTGGTGGGGGTTGTGTCTCTGACCGTCATACATACTGTCCGTGGTGGGGGTTGTGTCTCGCTGACCGTCATACATATACTCACTGATCCTTAAATACAAAGGTGATATAACCTTGTAACCTAAAGAAAAACAATGGAGTTCTGTACGCTGGAAACGTTCAGAAAGTGACGCTGTGTAATGCGTACGGAGATGAACCGTGTGAGATAAGGATGGATTTAACTCTCCGTTAGAGTGGGATGATTGTAGACGTTTATTTGGAAAATAATAATGTGGAAATGACCAATGTGATAATAAGTGTTTGAACCACCGAGTTAAATATAGTGCAATACTTGTTTGTTTGAAAGGTACATATCAGGTGTGTATCTCTTACTATAGTCCAGTCAATCTAGCAGGAAAAACTGTCCAACTCAGAACTAGTTGCACAAGAATTTAGTTTTACTGTGTTACGTTGATGAGCACTTAAGGAACATTATATTTAAAATGGTGACAGAAGGAATTGAAGCAGCATAGCTAACATTGAACTTACGAGCAGCTGCACTTCCGCCATATTTCTTCAATTTCTTTTGTAACTGATTTTTTCTTTATGTATGAATTTTAATGTGTTAGTGTCATCAGAAATGAATTATGTATTTTCTATTATTTTAGCCAAAAATACTATCATTGGATGAACATTACCAACATGGTGCCTTATGTTTTGAAGACATATAAACAACGAACAACATAACTTCGTTTTTTACAGAAAATTATTATTTTAAAAGAAACAGTTCTTTTCACTTTACATGTGACATTTTATAGTTTGTCCATGCAAGGTAAGCCGAAGTTAGCACAACTAACTTCCTTGCATTCTGTACATGCTAGTGAACATTTCTGGCTATATTTTTGGCAGTTACGTTTATCATATCACTGTCCGTCTTGTGGTTGCATCTCAGCACCTTCAGTAGAGCTTCTGGAGCTGGTGGTCAATCTGTTATTCTTGTTTCAAGTTAGCCATTGACCAATATTCATCAGCAGTCTTCTATATCCAAGACAATGCCCATCCACTGCTAAATTTGGAAATAAACAAGGACGCTGTGATATCGTGCAGCAGCTACTGCTGCAGTTGTTTGTGGTAGGTAGTGAACCTGTACAGAAGTGCCTGCAGAAACCTCAAGAAATCGCTGGTAAAGTAGCAGAGTTCGTGACCTGAGATGCAGTTGTATAGACAGACACGCACAAGTTTTTGCCAGAATACTTTGCATACCTACATGCTGCCCCAACAGCTGTGAAATGCGGCAGCATTTCGTGAAGAGAATGGAGTTGACTTTCTTGATTTCCTATTCTTTCTGATTTTATGAAGTGGCGAAGAATTTCAGCCATGTCAGGTATTCCAACGAGCTGCGTCCACTGCAATGAACATGTATTGTAGTTGTTTCCTTTTTCAATTTTTGTCGGACCTTGTCAAGGGACAATTCTAAACAGATCTCACTTGCATGAAGTTAACCAGCCCTAAGTGTGTCATAAGTTTGTGCTGCTATGAAGCCACGACTTCTGTGGTTTAAGTAACCCCGGAGTCCATACTAGTCAAAGCTGAACACCTGTTGAATTCAATCATTGCTTCCTCAATGATCGAACACAACAGGTGGATTACAGGTTCAGGAAATATTACAGGTTCGAACATCTGTCCTTTATTATTGTTTCTATCATGTTCAGTTTTACTTTATCGTTGTTTCAGTCATTCTCTTTCATTTAATGAGATATTTTACATCAGACAAGCATAAACTAAAAAAAAAAATCGTGAGAGAACAGGACAAGTGTTTCCTGACGCGGGTCTTAGTCATGTGATGACGCGCAACTGGGGCTTTTGGTCATTTGACCAAAGCCTTCCATTGGCTTACCAATCCACCCTTTCAAAAATTTTAGTTATGATTATAGCTATTAGGTTTCGTTGAAAATGTGAGTCTTGACAAATGTTAAACGTAGTCTGACAAAATCTTGTTCAACAGAACATGCTGAACTTACCAGACTACACATGTTCAAAAGAACGAGCATGTTTCAAACAATAACGAAGTGGAAAAGTTAGCACGACTGAAGCACTAATAAAGTAGAGAGTTAACAACACTGAAACAACACCAATATTAATAATAAAGATAACGCCCTCATCTGTCAGCTCTCCTTCAAGATCAAAAAAATTAATTCTCCACCACGTATTTTTTCATTTCGTTCCATGTCAACCCACAGATTGACTGGATATTATTAATAACACCGACCAAAAATTGTGTATCTTTCAGTGTATATACATGAGAAGTGTGTACATATCTCTTTGTATATACAAACGTAATATTTCTGGGTGTATACACAAACATGTATATCATTGCATACACCGAGAGGCGTATCTGTGCACATACGATTAGTTTCCATTAATCCCTATTTTAGGGACTAAAATATTCTTTACTGGTGGTGAACAAGCTACTGCAACCTTAATAACCCTGACGTAGTCGATTAGCTTCAAGCCTAACAACTCAACTACAGTGCTTTAACTAGGCAGAAATAATCATTTTTATTCACTGTAAAATATTTAGCTCCATTCAGGTTGAGTGCTTTCCTGTGAATATAACAATAAAATATTTAATATGACTTAATTTTTAAGTGTGTACAGTTCTTTTGATAATAAAGTTATATCGAGGGGGGTTCTCGTATTTCAATGGCGGTGCCTTGATGCTGGTGAAGGGCTCTTGATTCAAGGAACTGGAGCTACTTGGTACTAACGAGCCTGAATTGCGCTTAAGTATTGCTACTTTATTATGACTGTACATTGATTCATTAAAAGGCGTTGAATATAATGTGTTTTATTTACCAGTGAGGGTTCCATTGGTGGAGGGGAGAAGTGAGCTTCGAAGAACTGGAGTCTCATTCCCCTTCCTCGGCTCAACCTTAATTATCTCAGTCTTCCCTAGGATGACTCCTATGGGTTTTCCCCTCAAGGGAGGTTCCTTGACGCTGGTGAGGGGCTCTTGATATAGGGAATTGGATCTGTGCTCCAGTTCCCTGAATTGAGCCTGAATACCTTCCATCCCTCCCCCACATGCGTTGTATAATCCTAGGGGTTTAGCGCTCCCACATGATTATAATAATAATTATAATCCTATGGGTTTAGCCCTTTCAACTGATTATACTGGATGAAGTGGTACGAACTGCCAGAGGTAATCAGGGTACGGGTGAGGTTAGAACCTATGGCGAGTGAGTCGTGAAACTCCATTTCAGTACGTAAGCCACTGGGCCACCTGGCTACAATGACATTCATCCAACTTTCTATATACACCATAGAGAGGTTAGCATGGGCACCACTGACGGTCTGAGGGGTTTGACCCTCCAGACCGTCAGGAGATTCTGGCCTATATATGCGCCTTCTTGCTGGCTTCAGGGAGCATTGGGTACATATAATACGCACAGTTATTAGTCAACTTCCTTTCATTTTGGTCGAGGTTTGTTTTCCGGGCACTGGAAGGCAGGGCTCAATGTGGCGTCAGCTGTCAGTGGCCCTATAAACCCCAACGAAATCCGGACTTCTGCGCCAGCCTTCGTTGGGTGCGGATGTCTCTCTCTCGCCTGAGTATTGGTGATAAATTTACCCCGTTCTCTCTGGGTCGCTTATCCTCGTCTGTTTTGCTCGCCGGGCACTTTACAGGAGGAGCACCTGGTCATCGGCTTACTTTTAGCAGGCTCTATTGTTCCTCTCTGCGGATAATTCTTTAACGGTTTTATTGGGAAGCCGGTTACTAAATTCAGGTGTGGGGTGTGGGCGTCCTGCTCTGCTGGGGCTTGGCAAGGGGATCCACCTAATCTAATTGGGAATTTATAGTTCCTGTTTGTATTTACAAAGGAATTATTGTTCTCTTTTCTTTCATGACCCAGCTTTGGACAAAAGCTTCCCCACCGTAGCTCGATCCCGGTCCCGTAGCTCACACACAGGTCCGGAGATCGAATCCCCTGTACGGCTGGAAAAGATTAGGACGTGTTTCCATAAGACATCTGTCGTCCATGTTCACCCATAATAATAATAATAATAATAATAATAATAATAATAATAATAATAATAATAATAATAATAATAATAATAATAATAATAATAATAATAATAATAATAATGATAATAATAATATTAATATATTTACTACAAGTACATATACATAGACCTAGCTGACATCAGTGACATACTACTATAAAGAAAGCCGCTTGTTATACAAACCTCGGGCAAATTAGGTCAGTTTTGTCCCAGGATGCGACCCACACCAGTCGACTAACACCCAGGTACCCATTTTACTGATGGGTGAACATAGACAACCGATGTAATGAAACACGCCCAATGTTTCTACCTTCGCTGGAAATCGAACCCAGACCCTCGCCGTGTGAAGCATTGTTATAAAATGGGTACCCGGATGTTAGTCGACTGGTGTGGGTCGCATCCTGGTACAAAACTGACTTAATTTGCCCGAAATGATCAGCATAACAAGCGGCTTCCGATATAGTAGTATGTCACTGATGTCAGCTAGACCTGTGTATCATGTACATGTACTTGTAGTAAATATATTATTATTATTATTATTATTATTATTATTATTATTATTATTATTATTATTATTATTATTATTATGATTATTGTAATAGAACATGGGTAAGTGAGAGGGATACTGCTGAAGCTGTCAGTGGCCCTTATAAACCCAACAAACAACAACACAATATCCCCAGACAGCAGCACTTTGTTTCAGTGTTTAATATTCTACTCGACGACTGTAATAAGAACTGATTTTCTGTGGGTGAGGAATAAACTATTCTAGTCATCATGCGTTTAGTTTGGAACACCATTATCACAAACCACAGGTTTTACAGATGATTTTCACGTAACCAAGGCAGCTGCTGATGCTTGACAATGTCTCTTTCAAGAATCTCAGTCTTCCTGGTGTTTTATTTCATTCTCGGGTTTGCTACTGCTCGTAACCTTGAATTTACGACGTTTTTTGACGACGAATCTTGCTTTGATGATGAATATTTTGATCATATGAGTCTTCAGTGTACAGCTTGTCCCGCTAATCAAACTGCCGTGGAGGATCCATACACTTGTACATGTGTACCTGGCTTCAAGGTTGTAGGTGATGGACCTGACCTTAAATGTGAACCTTGTCCTCCTTTACAAGTGACCTCCAGTGATAAGAGAAGCTGTGTGCCTTGCTATGAATCCTTTTCCTTTAATGACACGCTCAAGGAATGCCAGCCATGCTCTGAGTCTTACATTATAACCGATAAATCACTAAATGGTACAAGTTTGGGTAGTATGGAGTGTATAGAATGTACTAATGATACTGTTCCAGGTGATCGAGTGTGTGTTCCGTGTCACACGTCCTTTTATGCTGCTAGCGGTGGCTCGTGCATGTGCCCCAATACTCACGTTCAGCTTGGCGGCATTTGTACGCCATTGTCAGATCTTGCAAAAATCCCTGATAAAAAGAGCTGCTACACTGTTAAATATGAGAATGGGGAAAGTGTGCAGTCTTTATTCTTTGAGAAAAACTATAGAGTGGCTGCTCACTCTTGTGCCTTCAGTCAGAATAAATCAGCCTGTCAACTTTTGAGCAATATGTGCGTTCTTTTGCATTATGATTTCAGTGATGAATTTAATGCCTGTGAATATTATAGAGAAAAATTTGGAGACAATTTTGTTAATTTGCCTGATTTTGTCCCATGGTTATATTATACTGAAGGAGAAGCAAATGTGTATCTTACTAAGAGTAGATTAAAGACCCACTACAGCTTTAACAAAGATAATCCAAATTCAAAGTTTAACTTTACCATTGCAAAATACTCTGCTGAAGGTCACTTTCTCAAGTATGGATTATTAGAGGATGTGTTAACTTTGTGCCCTTTAATAGACTTTCAACTTCATGCTGCTGTTCAATTTGGAACAACATTTTCTCAAAGTTGCTCCATAAATGTGAAAGATTTATGGAATAAGTATGCTACTGAGTTCTATGATGTATTTTTACAATATTATGATGATGAAGAACATATGATTTATGCCATTCCAGTTCTTAATAGAAACTATAAAGAAGATGACTCTTTAGTGAATCGGCAGGATCAGAAAAAGTGGCAGCTTACAAGGCGGTTTTTTCTGTTTGATAACATAAGTGGAAAAGAGAGCCTCTCTCCAAATACTAAGGATAAAAAGAAAAGAGCCAGAGTAGTTCGATATGCTCAGAGCATTGAAATAATTGTCCAACTCCGTGAAGGGGAGGGAGACGGCTTAATTTATCCACCTCTGATTAAAATAACATATGGTGAAATTGGAGATGAGGATTATGAGTCCAATAAAATGGTGGAGACCAATCTAAAAGTATTGTATACCATGAATTTTTCAAAAATCCGTGAGGATATATCTATAGCTGTGGGTGTTGTGAGTGCCTTTGCTACTGTATGGTCGCTGATAGGAGCATGGAGGTGGTCACGCCGTTGTGGTAAAGCAGGTTTAGATTTGCCCACCATATTGAACTTTCTTGTAATTGTATGTGGAAATCTTTCTAATGTATTCTTTTTGGTGATGTTTTTTGCGTGTTTTTACTTGACTATTTTTTTTAAAAGGCAGGATGTGGTTCATTTATTTATCTTGATTGACAGCCAGGAAACACTTATTAAACAGATCCTTACAGCTGCGTGCTTTCTAAAACTGGTCCAAGTTATTCACATAGTTTATGTTCAAGTTACTCTTGACATGTTCATCATTGATTGGGAACAACCAAGGGCAAAAAACTCCATTCCTCATCCACAACTGTTAAACAGTCCAGAAGAGGAGGAAAAATTGAAAGGGGAGCAGCCAATAAGTATTTGGAGAACCTATTTCATTGCAAATGAATGGAATGAACTCCAGACTTACAGAAAAATAGATTTAGGATGCCAGTTGTTCTTGACACTCTTATTTTTAAAAGTAATTGGATTTGAAAATCTGGCTGCTGCTGATCCTAACAGTAGTTTATCTGTTAACAATGGGAACTACAATTCTCCCCAGAGTTATGTGTGTAGATTTGCTATCAGTATGTCAGTTTATGTCATTATTGTTGCCGTGCAGTGGATCTTTAGGGTTGTTTTCTATGAACGCTATGTTGATAACAAGCTTCAGCAGATTATTGATCTCTGTTCAATTGCTAACATAAGTATATTTATTCTCGAGCACAAAATGTATGGTTATTACATTCATGGTCGTTCTGCTCATGGTTATGCCGATGTTGATATGCAGTGTATTTATGAACAAATGAAACGAGAAGAAGAAGATTTATGTGGCCATCGAGGTCTCGAACCTTCTAGCGAGTGTCAGACATTTGAGGTATCTATTACTTACAAATTTAGAGAGCAGTACGACACCATTTTGCAGCCTGTACGTGGATTTGCAGGGATTAGAAACCCAGGAGGCCGGGGCAAAATGAGATCTGTAGAGATGGAGCAAAGTTTCCAGGCACATGAAACTATGAAAAGATTTTTTGGCATGTTTCTTCAACATGCTCTTAAAGATTTAGATTATATTGTCAAGGAAAAGTTCTTTCTGGAAAGTATTTTGGATGTCGAGTTTCAACAGGCTGATGACAGATGTGTCTTTTTTAGGGATAATAATCATGCTTTCGATCGAGTTCTGTTTTATGGACATGAAATATCATTCATTTTGTTTGAAATGCTACTTTTTACATTTGTTGATGTAGTTGCTTATGATTTTGTGCTGGCAGCATTAGTGACTTATATATTTTCATATTTGATGAAAAAGGTCCGCAATACAGGAGGGCGAAAAAATGTGGTGCACAAAACCCTAGTTGATCAGAGATTTTTAATTTAGTAATGATGTTGAAAATTAGTCAAAATATTGTGTTGTATTGAGCAGAAAATGTGCAAAATCCTTAAAAATATCTAATTCAGTGGACCCCGGTTTACGATATTTTTTCATTCCAGAAGTATGTTCAGGTGCCAGTACTGACCGAATTTGTTCCCATAAGGAATATTGTGAATTAGATTAGTCCATTTCAGACCCCCAAACATACATGTACAAACGCACTTACATAAATACACTTACATAATTGGTCGCTTTGGGAGGTGATCGTAAAGCGGGGGTCCACTGTCTACTTGATCTCATACCTATTTAGTTCATATCTTAGACACTAATACCCATGCAGCTTCTATGAAATTAATCTTCAAGTTTTCACTTAGTCTTGATATCTGTTCAATACATAAGCAACATTTCAGAGTCATTAATATAATGAAAATAAAAAAAATAATGTTAGGACACTAAGTTAAATTTACACTTTGTCTCATTTTTCGAACCATATCATGTTACAGTAAGATGTTTTTTAATCTTATGACTAACCATACCATTGTCACCTGTATATTTATATATACACAGGTTTGAACTGTGGACAGTGTATGTACAGCTCACTTAGTCATATTAAGCACCTTTGGGTGGGGCCAGTATTGGGTGGGTTACCATGTAGACAAAGTCCTGACTTGGGCTCAGAGAATCTCAGTAAGCACCATGCTTCTTGTACATCACAGGGAAAGACCATCCCATATGACAAAAAATGATATCTTTGATAAGATTAGTGGGAGCTTGAGATTTTCTGCATAGTTATTTTAATTTTTGTAGCTGTACAGTACCTGTACTGTATATTGAACCAGAATTCATAGTTAATTTTTTTTATGTCGCAGTGTATATTACACTAAACAGAGATGATGTATACTGTATGCACTTTACTGTGCTGAACCTCATACTCTAAGCAAACCAGCATGAATAATGTCAAATTGCTCTATAACAATATTGGTTTTCAGCTTCATGGAAAACTGCATCTTAAGACTATGCTTCAGTGTTGGCTTAGTCTTTTTTTGTTATTCTGGTCTCAAGTGCACCAGAATAATCTGCAAACATGAAAATAAAAATGTATGATAAATATAAAAATGAAATAGGGGCAGTGTTCCATCCAGTGTGCATGAAAATCAGAGTACCTTAGCACTTAATACATTTTTGTTTGCTTGGGATAAGATATTTTTGTAATACACGTATACAGTATTTGTAAAGATTTTTTTCCGACAAACACATTTAAAGGTAAATAATTAGGAACATCTTTGTACATTCCATATAGCAAATTTCATTGTTTTCATTATAGCCTAAAAGAATTGTATGGTACTATGAAACAGCTGTTTTCATCTCTATCTTACGATCATTTTGACCTTTGCAAGATTACATTAATCTAGCATTACTGTACTGTGACATCTTGCTTTTGTAAGATGTGCATTATTTAGCTAAATTGAAATTTACATCTCCCTTCCCATGTATAGTTCACTTCAATTTATTATAATTGTTACAAAATAAATACATTAATCATAAGAGTTTTGGAATTGTATGAAATAGATTCCTAGCATCATAAAATAAATTTGTATGTAGCATTTAATGGTAATATGGTAATTGATTGTAATGTCATCATTGTTGTATTATAATTGCAAAATTGTATAGTGAATGCATTTCTGTTTTAACAGAAACATATCTGCAGAAAGCTTTTCCTATTTTTTTTTACAATTTGTGTAATATGCATACAGAGAATATGCAAAAACAAAATGGAATGTGTAAATTACAAGATCGATGATGTCATACCACTAGAATATGCCAAAATTACTTTGGCAAGTTCTTCATTCTACAAACATGTTAACATCTTGAACCAGCAGCTTCAGGGAGAAGGTAAGGCATCATTTTTCAGAAAACTATCAGACCATTAATACATACTGTCTATACTGTGCAGAATAACCACAGTGAAAAAAAAATAGTGAAATTCCAAGCAATTTTGTGATTTTTCACAATATCAAGGAATAGTAAAAAATAATAGGAAAACAGAAGACTTATAAGGCTGAGATTTCAGCCTTATAAATCTTTGTTCTGTTATTTTACTATTCCTTGATAATGTGAGAAATTACAAAAGCACTTGGAATTTCACTAACTTTTAAACTGTGGTTATTCTGCATATTTTAATATCAGATGTTTACTATAATCATATTGCACTGTACATTCTGTTTTAACATTATCTACTGTGTTAACTTTAGATTTACAATTAAAACTTGTGCTTGATTTCATATTTTCTTGTAGCTAGCTCTGATTTTGATAATATAAATGAAAAGAGCATTTAGTGCTTACTACGTATTGAATTGTACAAAGGTTTTTATATTGCAGAATCGGTCAAGAAACATACTATAATAGCCACAACACTGGGCCATCTGATTGAGCTACAGGGAGAAAAGGTCCTCCGCTCCATGAAACTAACATCGAAAACTGTTGCAAAAGTAAATTATTTCACATCAGCCTTCCAAGTTTGTTATATTGTTCCAAATTTATTATATTGTTGCTACTTTAGTATGATTTACCACAGGGTGGGCAAACTGCAGCCCACCAAAGGTTTTCGTGCAGCCCACCAAGATCAAGTCGTATGCTCACGTATATGCAGCTGAATGAGCAAAACTTTGTTCATTTTCCTCAGTTGAAAACATGAGCTGTTACACAAGCATTATCAGACAAGTACAGTTCCCAGTTGATGCACTGAAAAGTTTGTCCACCCCTGATTTACTGTATCTTTTTGCTCATGTAGTGATTTTTTTTTCATTTGTTCCTGGTGTATTGATTATATTTTTACTAATAAAGGGTATATTAATAAAAATTAATTACTACAGTATGAGTAATTCTGATAGCTTTTAGTGTATTGATTATGTATTTGTTAGTGTATTGATTATCAGTATATTCATGTTTTTAATATCAACCTGTAAACTAATCAGTTGATAAGATGTTAATATTATCTTCATAACTAATTTGATTGTCTGTTCAGATTTAGCATAATTTTATTAAAGACATATCTGTAAGCTTCTTGTCAATGTGTATGCTTAATTATACTATATTCCTTGACCTTGTGTTGACTCTGGGAACTAGAGCCTGTATTTAACCTCTAGAAAAATATACTTTAGAAATAATCTTCATTATACCTGTGTTTGCTGTACCTGATGAGGATAGATGTTAAAATATAATTATTATAATCAAAATTTATTGTTGATACTGAGAATATATAAAGTAGCAATGAATGAAGTGAGTGTGAGGTTTATAACAATTCTCTTTCACAACCCACACCTGTGAATACCTCACTAGGGTTAAAAGTGTTACCAGAAAATATTACTGACACCATCACATTTTAGCAATAAAGATTGTCAAGCTCTTGTTGATGTCATTTTTATATTGCTAATTCTACCAGGAGTCACATTTAAATAAGTTGGGCCAAATATACTGTATTATGAAGTCAGTTTAAATCGAAATGAACAACTGCCAATGAATAAACAAACGTGGACCGTAGGGCCTCAAACCACAGTTCAAGCCCCCCGTCCACCTTTCTGTTTATTCATGCTGTATTTTATTATTATTGTTAACAATGAGTTTCTTTATTCAGATTGTGGTTCATCATAATTTTCATCCAGTACAACTGTATATAGTGCTACTGTACAGTACCCACAAGGCAGTCATCCTCTCTTATCACGATTTCAAGGTAAGCAAGAAGCATGAATTATGGTAGTCTCACTAGTTGCATTATGGATTTTCATGAAGAGTTCATGATAGTATGAACTTACATAAGATACAGAAAACTTTTACTACCATAATTATGACCTAGCATATACGTAATTAAAAAGTGTGAAAATTAATACTAAATAATTATAAAAATGATAAAACAGTATAAATGCATGCATATGCAAGCTAATTAATTACATAGGTAAACAAATTTATTATTTGACTGTTGTATACTGTACTGTCAGTCATTACGTTAAAATATAAATCACATATTGTGGCGCTGATCACTGCACAAAACAGTGCCTGAAGAAAAACTTACACATTCCAAGAAAAACACCATACAATGCAGTACAGTATTTAGTAATTATTGGAGTTTGTGACAACATTTAATCACTGGATCTCCATTCTGTGGGCCACAAATCCCTACAGGGCCAGTAAGTTATTCCAAGGGGCCTATGAACCCTCACATCAAGTATTGCTCCTCCAGTCAGCTCTTGTGGGGAAGCTTGTGAAATTTTTTGAGGTTAAAAAAGGAGTCCACATACTTGAAGAAAAGTTGGAAACCACCACACTAGGTTAAATGTTTACACATCTCTCTCAGTGTCATGGACAAACATGCAGCTCAGAATACTTTCCCTCAAATAACTTCCATTACAGAGTATTGATATAGTATCATCATCTGTTAACACAAGCAGGTTCTGCTTATATATCAGGTTAGGTTCTGGGCTACTGCTGTAGAGTGAAAATTGCTGTAAAGTGAAGCATAGCCTTTTTTCACTTTCAAATACATATAAAAGCCTAATAACATTTACACTAATATATATTATGTCATAAAATTACATAAAAATTACTTTTTTGCACTCTAAGATGCTCATTCAAGCCTGTTTGATGTTCATGACACTACCACTCAAAACCTTCTTTACCCCCTCCCTCCAACTTTTCCTGGGACAACCCCTACCCCCTCATTTCTTTCACCTCAAGTTTATATAAACTCATAGTAATCCCATTTTGCTCCATCCTTTTTAAATGCCCAAATCACACTGGCAATCAATTCTCAGCCTCTGAATTGTATTTTTGGTAACTTCACCCCATCTTTTAATCTCCGCCCTAAATTTTCTGGTTGTCGAATTTAATTCACTCCAGATGTTGATATGACAACCAAAATGGACAACAACCAAAGCAGTTTTTCCCATAAAGAATAATGTAAACAGAATTAATCCATTCCAGATCCCAAATGACAATACAGGTCTCCCTCAACATTCGTGAGGGTTAGGGGATCAAGAGCCTCGCGAATGTTGAAAAACCGTGAATGTTTGGTGCCCCAATATATTGTAGGGAAATATATTACAATACTGCTTCCTTAACTTGTTGAACCATGAATAATCATAAAATACATGAAAACGTCGTAAATTGTACTAAATATATACATGTTATGCTTTAATAACATATGTTATTTAATAACATGTATGTTAATAACATTTTTTATTTTATTTATTATCACACCGGCCGATTCCCACCAAGGCAGGGTGGCCCGAAAAAGAAAAACTTTCACCATCATTCACTCCATCACTGTCTTGCCAGAAGGGTGCTTTACACTACAGTTTTTAAACTGCAACATTAACACCCCTCCTTCAGAGTGCAGGCACTGTACTTCCCATCTCCAGGACTCAAGTCCGGCCTGCCGGTTTCCCTGAATCCCTTCATAAATGTTACTTTGCTCACACTCCAACAGCACGTCAAGTATTAAAAACCATTTGTCTCCATTCACTCCTATCAAACACGCTCACACATGCCTGCTGGAAGTCCAAGCCCCTCGCACACAAAACCTCCTTTACCCCCTCCCTCCAACCCTTCCTAGGCCGACCCCTACCCCGCCTTCCTTCCACTACAGACTGATACACTCTTGAAGTCATTCTGTTTCGCTCCATTCTCTCTACATGTCCGAACCACCTCAACAACCCTTCCTCAGCCCTCTGGACAACAGTTTTGGTAATCCCGCACCTCCTCCTAACTTCCAAACTACGAATTCTCTGCATTTTATTCACACCACACATTGCCCTCAGGCATGACATCTCCACTGCCTCCAGCCTTCTCCTCGCTGCAACATTCATCACCCACGCTTCACACCCATATAAGAGCGTTGGTAAAACTATACTCTCATACATTCCCCTCTTTGCCTCCAAGGACAAAGTTCTTTGTCTCCACAGACTCCTAAGTGCACCACTCACTCTTTTTCCCTCATCAATTCTATGATTCACCTCATCTTTCATAGACCATCCGCTGACACGTCCACTCCCAAATATCTGAATACGTTCACCTCCTCCATACTCTCTCCCTCCAATCTGATATTCAATCTTTCATCACCTAATCTTTTTGTTATCCTCATAACCTTACTCTTTCCTGTATTCACCTTTAATTTTCTTCTTTTGCACACCCTACCAAATTCATCCACCAATCTCTGCAACTTCTCTTCAGAATCTCCCAAGAGCACAGTGTCATCAGCAAAGAGCAGCTGTGACAACTCCCACTTTGTGTGTGATTCTTTATCTTTTAACTCCACGCCTCTTGCCAAGACCCTCGCATTTACTTCTCTTACAACCCCATCTATAAATATATTAAACAACCACGGTGACATCACACATCCTTGTCTAAGGCCTACTTTTACTGGGAAAAAATTTCCCTCTTTCCTACATACTCTAACTTGAGCCTCACTATCCTCGTAAAAACTCTTCACTGCTTTCAGTAACCTACCTCCTACACCATACACTTGCAACATCTGCCACATTGCCCCCCTATCCACCCTGTCATACGCCTTTTCCAAATCCATAAATGCCACAAAGACCTCTTTAGCCTTATCTAAATACTGTTCACTTATATGTTTCACTGTAAACACCTGGTCCACACACCCCCTACCTTTCCTAAAGCCTCCTTGTTCATCTGCTATCCTATTCTCCGTCTTACTCTTAATTCTTTCAATAATAACTCTACCATACACTTTGCCAGGTATACTCAACAGACTTCTTCTTCTTTCAACACACCGGCCGTATCCCACCGAGGCGGGGTGGCCCAAAAGGAAAAATGAAAGTTTCTCCTTTTACATTTAGTAATATATACAGGAGAAGAGGTTACTAGCCCCTTGCTCCCGGCATTTTAGTCGCCTCTTACAACACGCATGGCTTACGGAGGAAGAATTCTGTTCCACTTCCCCATGGAGATAAGAGGAAATAAACAAGAATAAGAACTAGAAAGAAAATAGAAGAAAACCCAGAGGGGTGTGTATATATGTGCTTGTACATGTATGTGTAGTGTGACCTAAGTGTAAGTAGAAGTAGCAAGACGTACCTGAAATCTTGCATGTTCATGAGACAGAAAAAAGGACACCAGCAATCCTACCATCATGTAAAACAATTACAGGCTTTCGTTTTACACTCACTTGGCAGGACGGTAGTACCTCCCTGGGCGGTTGCTGTCTACCAACCTACTACCTATAACTCAACAGACTTATCCCCCTATAATTTTTGCACTCTCTTTTATCCCCTTTGCCTTTATACAAAGGAACTATGCATGCTCTCTGCCAATCCCTAGGTACCTTACCCTCTTCCATTATTATTATTATTATTATTATTATTATTATTATTATTATTATTATTATTACTATTGTTATTATTAGCTGTAGCAGAAATGTTTAATTCTTTGCAGTGTTCAAGAGTAAACACATGATGTCACCGTCTAATACTTGTCCTAATAGGCATTCCAATATGCAGTCATGAATGGGTTTACATTATTTATTCTGTAGTTTAATAGCAAATAATGAACAAACAAAACACTCACCACACTGAGTGGTGGGAGGGCTGGCTGCCAGTTGCAGGGGTCGGAGGGAGGGTAGTAGGGACTCGCAGGTGGCGGGAAACTTAAATATAATTTGGCGGCTGGGAATTTGGCGGTTGGGAATTCGCGAATGTGTGAAGCCCGTGAAAGTTGAAAACGTGAATGTTGAGGGAGACCTGTATAATAATTTATTAAAAATGTACTAACTACTACATAAAACTGTAAAAGTGAATACTAAAAGAAACTAACTGAAATACTGTACAGTAAATGAAAATTTAACTGCTTCTTACAGTAAATGTAAATTTAACTGCCTCTCCTCTCTTAAAAAAAAATAGGTAGTAGGTTGGTAGACAGCAACCACCCAGGGAGGTACTACCGTTTTGCCAAGTGAGTGTAAAACGAAACCCTGTAATTGTTTTACATGATGGTAGGATTGCTGGTGTCTTTTGTCTGTTTCATAAATATGCAAGATTACAGGTACGTTATGCTACTTCTACTTACACATAGGTCACACTAAACATACATGTACACGTTTATTTATACACACTCGACTAAAGTCAACTAAAATGCCGGGAACAATGGACTAGTAACTCCTTTTCCTGTAATAATAACTAATCAAATTGGGGAGGAGGAGTATGGAAGAAGTGAATGTTTTCAGATACTTGGGAGTTGACGTGTCGGCGGATGGATTTATGAAGGATGAGGTTAATCATAGAATTGATGAGGGAAAAAAGGTGAGTGGTGCGTTGAGGTATATGTGGAGTCAAAAAACGTTATCTATGGAGGCAAAGAAGGGAATGTATGAAAGTATAGTAGTACCAACACTCTTATATGGATGTGAAGCTTGGGTGGTAAATGCAGCAGCGAGGAGACGGTTGGAGGCAGTGGAGATGTCCTGTCTAAGGGCAATGTGTGGTGTAAATATTATGCAGAAAATTCGGAGTGTGGAAATTAGGAAAAGGTGTGGAGTTAATCAAAGCATTAGTCAGAGGGCAGAAGAGGGGTTGTTGAGGTGGTTTGGTCATTTAGAGAGAATGGATCAAAGTAGAATGACATGGAAAGCATATAAATTTATAGGGGAAGGAAGGAGGGGTAGGGGTCGTCCTCAAAAGGGTTGGAAAGAGGGGTAAAGGAGGTTTTGTGGGCGAGGGG